GGAAGCCTGAGGGGATTTTTCTTTGATCCCTACCACGAGAACCTGGTAGAGCTCCTGGAGGTAAAAGTCACAAAAATGTGCATCCCCCACCCAGAGTTTTGTCTCTCAGAGGTTTCCACATTGTGTCTCCAGCAATTTGCTTGTTGCTCATAAAGTTTTCGTACTGGACACTGGTTCCTGGAGGTTTCTATTCTGCTAAGTTATGATTCTCTGTATGCATGTGTTTGTCTTTCCAGTTTTGGGGGGAGTAGTGTGCCCTGTGATCTCAATTCTCTGATGGATCCAAGAAGAGTTGTCGATTTTCAGTTTATTTAACCTCTTGTTAGAATGTACTGACAGCTTCCATTCTCCTTTTATGCTGGACAGGAAACCAGAAGTCTTCTTACATGATTCTTTAATCTGGGAAATTCTGATTTTTTTAAAAGTAGGCTCCATGCCCAGCGTGGGGCTTGAACTCATGACCCTGAGATCAAGAGTCATATGCTCTGCCAACTGAGCCAGCAAGGTGCCCCCCCATCTGGGAAAGTCCTTATCATTGTGATTGTGTCTTGTGTTTTTTTTTTTTAATGTCTATTTATTTATTTTGAGAGAGAGAGAGAGAGAGAATGCACGCACGAGTGGGAGACGGGCAGAGGGGGAGAGAGAGAGAGAGAAAGAGAATCTTAAGCAGGCTGCACACCCATTGTGGAGCCCTTTGTGGGGCTTGATCTCACAAACTGTGAGATCATGACCTGAGCTGCAATCAAGAGTTGGATGGGTAACTGACTGAGCCACCCAGGTGCCTCTATCATTGCTTCTTTAAATATATTCCTCCTTTTCTGGACTCCTAATATGGATGTTGACACATTAATTCTTTCCTTTCTCTCTTCCTTTGCCTTTGTGAAGAGATCCTCAATCTGTCCCTTACTCATTCACTGAGTCTTTGTTTCAGTGGTCATGCATTTAATGTCCAGTAAGTGGTAAGAGATCCATCATAACTACACTCATTCCTGTTTCTAGGTTTATTACCCTGGAGTCCATTTATTATGTTGTTTTTTTTTAAAACGACCTTATTGAGATACAATTCATATACCATACAATCCCATTTAAAGTGTACAATTTGGTGGTTTCTGCTATATTCACAGAGTTGGATAACCATCATCATAATTAATTTTAGAGCATTTTCATCAGTATTACTGCCCCCCCCCCAGCTCCCAGCTTCTGTAGATTTACTTATTTTGGACATTTCGCATAAATGGAACCCCATAATACATAGTCTTTTCTGACTGCATTCTTTCACAGCATGTTTTTAAGATTTGTCCATGTTGTAGTATAGATTAGCATGTCATTCCCTTTTATGGCTACTTAATACCCCATTGTATAGGCGTACCACATTTTGTTTATCCACTCATCAGTTGATGGACACTTGGGTTGTTTCCACCTTTTGTTTTTTGGATTTTTTGTTTTGAGTTTATTGTATTCATTTTGAGAGAGAGAGAGCTGGGGAGGGGCAGAGAGAGAGGGAGAGGGAGAGAATCCCAAGCCGGCTCCGCACTGTCAGCACAGGACCCAACGTGGATCTGAACTCATCAGCCGTGAGATCATGACCCGAGCTGAAATCAAGAATTGGACACTCAGTCAGCTAAGCCACTGAGGCACCCCTGTTTCCACCTTTTGGCTGTTGTGAATAATGCCGCTTGAACATTGGTGTAGATGTCTTTGTGTGAACATAGGTTTTTATTTGTCTTGGGTATATATCCAGGAGTCGGAATGCCCAGTTAAATGGTAACATTTTGTTTAACATGTTGAAGGACTGCTAGACTGTCTTCCGAAATCACCAGCACTTCATAAAGATCCTGATTTCTCCACACCATCCTTACCAATGCTTGTTACTCCTTTTGGTTGTAGCCATCTTTGTGGAAGTCAAGTGGTATCTCGTTGTAGTTTGGGTTTGCATTTCCCTGATGACTGTTTATTTGCTTTTTGAAAATTCTTGGCTGTCTGGTAAATTAATTCTGCTGTTTCCAGTGCAGTTGGTTTACTTTGCTTTCTTTTCATTTACACTCTTTGTTGACATATCTTGTTTTTTTTTCCCCCGTGAAAGAATATTCTCTTGGTGTCACCAGATGCCTTTGCTGGTATAAACACCTGAAGGGAAGAACAAAAGCCTGGTTCCTGGCTTGACACCCTGTTAGCAAGTTTGAGGCTCCAGCAGTGTCCTGATGTGACCCCTCCAGCTGACACTTGCTGGCAAAGTTGATTGGCCGAGGTCCACCCAGAACAGACCTTGCAAGAGGAAGTGGCCTAACTCGGAAGCTCCCCCTGCCCACCTGTGGTGCGGAGCCTTTCTCTGCTCTGGGCTGGCCTTTGCCACTTCACGTGGACCCGGCCACCTTTGGTCCCTCCCTGGGGTTTCTCACAGCCTTTGTGTTCCGTCCTCCCTCTCACTTTTGTGGCATCTTTCAAGACAGATGGGAAGGAACACAGTAGCCCATCTAGTGCTCCTTTTATTTAGAACTAGAAGTTTGACGAAACTCATTTAACATTTTCCACACTTATTTGACTTTGGCATGCTTCTTTCCCCACCATTTTGTCATTCAGCAAACCTAAGTTGAATACTTCATGTGTGTCAAGCACTCTTCTAGCTGGGGACACCGCAGCAAATTAGGGCAGAAGGTGCCCACCCTATGGAGCGGGGAGATGACAGGACTAACTCACTAAACGGGATCATTTCCTGCAAGGCAGGTGTTGCGGTGGAGGGGAAGAGCAGAAGGCAGTGGTAGCACGTTGGATGGGTGCTTAAGGACAGTCTTGTGGTGGAAGTAGCACTTGGCCCAGTCCTGGTCCACAAGGAGGAGGCAGGCTGAAGGGGGTTCAGGGCAGAAGGCCCAGGGGCAGGCCCCCAGGCAGCAGGTAGTTTGGTGTGGTGGGCTGGAACATAGTGATGGCAGAGGAAGTGGGTGGGAGGTGAGGTTGCCGAGGTAACAGGACAGATCCTGTAAGTCCCAGGTAAGAACTTTGAATTGCAAGGAAAGGCCAAATAGGAATTTTGACCAAGGGAAGTGAATTTACTTGTTTTTAAAAGAAGCTCCTGGCTCTGTGTGGAACGTGGGTGATAAAGGCTGAGAGTGGCAGCAGGGAAACCAATAGGAAGCAGCGGTAGTGATCCAGGCAGAAGTTGAAGGTGGTCTAGACTAGGGTGAAAGCAGAGATGGCAAGAAGTTGGGGTACTGGGTAACATCTGTGGAGTTCCACAAAACTGACCCCGAAACATTAACCAGATCGTCTCTCATGGGCCAGTGGTTCGGTGACTGGTATTTCAGTCATCTGTTGCTGCACAGCAAGTCATTCCAAGACTTAGAGGCTTAAAACAATATTTAATATTTCTTCTGATTCTCTGGGTTGACTGGGCTCAACTGGGTGGTGGTTCTACCCTGTGTGCTGAAGGCTGAGGTCACTCACGTGGCTGCCTTCAACAGGAAGCTGGATCAAGTTTGGAATGACCAGGATGGCATTCCTCCGGGCTGGTCTCCATGTGCCCTCTATGCATTCAGTGGTCCAGCCTGGACACCATGGCTGCTGGACGCAAAGAGAGAGAAAGTAGAAGCTTCCTGTCCTCTTAGGGCCTGGGCTCAGGGTCGCAGAATGTTACTTCTGCACTTGGTAATTGGTCAAGGCCTGTCACAGGCCCACCCTCATTCAAGGGGAGGGAACAGACTCTGCTGTTTGACATGAGGAGCCACAGCACCCCACAGGTACAGGAGGAAGTGTTGAGGCCATGTTTGGACACTACATGCCATAGCTCTGAATTGCCCTCCCAGACTTACTTGAAAGTGCTGGAAGAATTTCAAAGTCATCCTTTCAAAGTTTTAGTGTCCAGTTTGGGATAGTAATAAGAGAAATTATAAAGAAGAAATTCTTGCTCTCCTTCCAAGAAAGTTATTTTCTAAGCTAAAGAGCAAACTGACTCTCCAAAAACAACTCAGGTTTCTAAACTTCGTCCAGCCCTTGGCAAACCACTTTATAAGTGTGCCTTTTCATCTTCCATCTGGGCTCTTTGCTGTAAAACCCTAATTGCACATGTTCTGTTACTACACGACTGAGGGCCCTGGGGCAGCACTCCCGGAAACAGACATCTCCAGTCGGGCTCCCAGTGTGAAACCCACCTGTTCTGTTAGGACACTCACCTAAGAAACGCAGACCACCTTCTCATTCAACCCCTGGCGGGGCTTCTCTGCTGTCTTGATTTATCTTATGAATGCTAATCTACATCAGTCTTACCCTTATCAAATTTACTCATTGGAATAGAGACATATTTAATTTATTTACTTCTTAATTTTTTTTTTTTAATGTTTATTTTTGAGAGACAGAGTGTGAGTAGGGGAGCGACAGAAAGGGGGGGGAGATGCAGAATTGGAAGCAGGCTCCAGGCTTTGAGCTGTCAGCACAGAGCCCAACGTGGGGCTCTAACTCATAAACCATGAGACCGTGACCTGAGCCGAAGTCAGACGCTCAACTGACTGAGCCACCCAGCATCCCGAGTCATCTTTTAATGAGTCCATACACAGGGGCAGCAGTAATTGGCCCCTACCGCTCTGTGGATAACAGACTGCTCCTACAGTGTGACCCACGTGTCTGTTACCCAGTTGACGCTAGTGCACGTTAGTATCTGATGACTGGGTTGGTTGTGTTATCAGGCGAAATGAAACTTGTGGAAGCCGTAAATCCAGTGCTCAGTCCTGCATTTCACTCACTTAAATGACTTAAAATTTTTTTTTAAGTGACTTAAAATTTTGTTAATTATTTAGATTTTAAACTGTTACAAACGGCCGTAGTTTTTCATATCTAATTTTATGCAAAGGTACCTATGAGGTTTGTACTGAAACTTGAGCTCTCCAAAGAAGTAATACAAAAAGACCTACTTTCTAACACAAAGCAATGTCCTAAGTACTAATTATCTGATAAGTTAAACCAGTCTTTTGAGTGGCTATTTTTACATCACTGGGGTTCCTTTCTTCTAGACTGCCTTGCCATCCAGGAAAGGGTTTCGGCACCAGACCACTAAGTTTCTGTATCGTTTGGTGGGATCAGAAAATATGGCTGTGGACCAGAGTATCGTCAGTCCTTACACCTCTCGGATCTTGAAACCTTACATCAGGTACGCGGGGAAGAGCTGTGATGTCGAGTGTGTTGTGAGGAATGGCATTTGTGGCTTCTCCGCCCTGGTCCCCTGTTAGAGTGAGTCAAGACCAACCCTGTAAGCAGGCATCGGCACGGACTCCACGTGCAGTCTGATCCTTGCCTTATTTGAACTGTACGTTTTTTTGCAGAAAGGATGGTCGTTTGACAGAAGTGTAAAAAGCATGAACAAGTTAACACTGTTCGATTGTATTTCATTGTGTTTCTTTTAAATTTTAAAGTTGTGTATATTTAGTAGTCTGTAAAATGAGAACATGGGAGAGATGCCTCACTTGGGCTTGTATCTGGGGTGATGATGAGTCTTCTTGACTAGGCAGTGCTGTGGAAGCCGAGCTGGCTAGGGCCCCCCAGTGCTGTCTTGAGAAAGCGTGTTGTCTTGATCGCCACAATGGCCCCAGAGTCCCAGGATCCTCCTTGCCCAGCACCGCCATCCCAGACCGGCCCCGTGAGAAGCAGTGTGAGAGCCTGCCCCAGCGGCCCTGGCAGAGCTGGACCATCCCTCCCTGGGCTGTGTCCTGGGCTGGAGCTCTCAGGGTTGAGTCAGGCAGCTGTTTGTTTCCTCACTCTGTTTGTTCAGGCTCCAGCACAAGCAGGCTTCCTGGTTGGTACAGAGGGGTTTGGTCTGATATATGTTAACAGAGCAAATTTTAAATTTCATGCCAGAAAAGTATCGTAGCTCTTATCAAGCTCTCTGCCATATAAAGTAGCAGATTGAAGAGTTTATGTGAATCAGTTGGCTAGGAATAATACTGGGTATTTTTCTTGACTTGAATTTGTTCTTTTCTTGAATCTTGTTCTTCTCTTCTTGGAGGCGTGATTATGAAACAAAGCCACCCAAACTACAGCTCCTGTCACAGATTCGCTCCCACCTGCATAGGAGTGACCCTCATTGGACCCCGGAAGCTGACGCACCTCTTGATTACTGCTATGTCCGGCCAAATCACATCCCAACAATAAACTCTATGTGTCAGGAGTTTTTCTGGCCTGGTATGTTCCCCCTCCCAAACTAGGCAGATCAGTTTTCTGTCTAGTTCACGTTAGTAATTTTTCTTAAATTAGTGCATGCTGTGTGACTCTAAAACCTTTACTCACAATTTCATTTAGTTTGTCTCTACTCTCATGGAAAGAGTAAAATATGAACACCTCTTTCTTCCTAAGTTCAAGAAGGAGCCAGCAATTAAAGTAATAAACAGTGTTTTTGTATGTTTCTCAGTGCTGCCAGAGTAAAAGATTCATCCTATTTTGCTTCTACATATGTTTAGATACCAGGTAATGTCTACCCATGGTATACAGACTGGTAGTTTGGACATGTTTGGACATTTTTTATTTTTTGCTTAATAATTCTGTAATTTTGTTTACTTAGCTGTTACTTGGAGAGTGTTAGTACAGCCAAAAGGGTTTTTTTGTTTGTTTGTTTGTTTGTTTTGTTTTTCCTTGAGTTTATTTATTTTGAGAGAGGAAAACATGAGCGGGACTGGGAGAGAGAGCTAGAATCCCAAGCAGGCTCACGCTGTCAGCACAGAGCCTGATGTGGGGCTCGAACCCACAAACTGAGATCATGACCTGAGCCGAAGTCAGATGCTTAGCCAGCCGAGCCACCTAGGCTCCCCGAAAAGGTATTTTTAAAAAGCCAAATACCCCAATTGCAGACTTTGAAAATAAGAGTAAACCCAATACGATTTGTCATTTTATCAGTCTTAATATATTGTCTTTCTGAAAACCGAAGCCATCAATTAAAGGAGCACATTTTCATTGTTAAATATAAGCCTGTTCTTTGTGGATCTGCCTTACTGCACTGCTTTGAAAGTAAAGGAAAATTACATGTCCTCCAGAGGTTAGATAAGATTTCCTCGGGATTAGAGCTGTGTCTTCTTTGTTGTGTGGTAATCATGTAACAGTGCACGTGGTGGCAGACTTGTGCTCGTTCTTTTAGGAGCGGTATGGAGGCCGAAAGCATTCTGGGAGCATCTACTATTTCTTGACCTTATGCTGGGTTGCCTTCCATACATGATGCATGGAATCATTTTTTGTTTAAACCCCTTTATTGTCCAATGTAGCATTTGTACAAAAGAGCTTATAAATTATACTTGTATGAGGTGAGGAACACAATAATGTGAGTTCTCTGGATCTCTGCTCCCACCCTATGAGGTCTAAGTGTGCAGACGCTGAGGCCCACACATTTGGAAAGGCGTCAGCTGACACACGTTGTAGAAGTGGCTAAGTTCAAAGCCAGAGAGATGTATCCCATTCTAAACCTGGGTGCTCTCTGCTACCCACCCTATCCTGCCTACTTCTTTTAACATGTGTACTTGGAAAAGATGCTGTTAATTTTGATATTTTCTAAAATTCACTTTTGTTTTTATGATCTGAATGTATGATGTCTGTGCTAATATCTTTGTCTTCAGTTTTTTGTTTTTTGGGTTTTTTTTAGCATGCAGGTGTAGACTAAACAGCTTGTCATGTGTTAATTCCAAAAGGCACATGGTTTTAATATCAAATTAACTCTTCTCCGTAGGCATTGACCTGTCTGAGTGCCTGCAGTATCCAGACTTCAGTGTGGTTGTCCTTTATAAAAAAGTTATCATTGCCTTTGGCTTCATGGTTCCTGACGTGAAGTACAATGAAGCTTACATTTCATTTCTGTTTGTCCATCCTGAGTGGAGAAGAGCAGGGATCGCAACTTTCATGATTTATCATCTGATTCAGGTAAGGCGTCTGGGCTCCCCTGGAAGACTTGAGGAGGGACGGGGCTGAGCTGGGCCTTCCTAGCACGGCCCAACAGAATGGGTGGTCTCGCAAACCCAGTAAAAGAACGACAGTGACCATCACACAGATAAGAATCTTTGGCCCTCTAAAATAAGATGGCTGTTGGGGCGCCTGGGTGGCTCAGTTGGTTGAGCAGCCAACTTCAGCTCAGGTCATGATCTCACAGTTCATGAGTTTGAGCCCTGCATCGGGCTCACTGCTGTCAGTGCAGAGCCTGCTTCAGATCTTCTGCCTCTCTCTTTGCCTCTCTCTCTTTCTCTCTCTCTCTCTCTCTCTCTCTCTCTCTCTCTCTCTCTCTCTCAAAAAAGAAAAGAGAAGAGAAAAGAAAAGAAAACAAAAGAAAAAAGAAAAGAAAACCCTTGACCCTCTAAAATAAGATCACTATTCAGGCCCAGGTTTCAAAGAAACCAGTTTGAGGGGCACCTGGGTGGTTCAGTTGATTAAGCATCTGACTCTTGATTTTGGCTCATGTCGTGATGCCAGGCTCGTTAGGCTGAGTGTGGAGCCTGCTTGAGATTTTTTCTCTCCCTCTCCGTCTGCCCCTGACTCAGTGCACATGTGCACTCCCTTTCTCTCTTTCAGTAAAATAATCTTCAAAGAAACCAGTTTGTAAACTCATTATAGTAGATAAAATGAGAAAATACCAAAAGTGAGAATCCAAAGCCCTTGTACAATGACCCATATTGGTAACTGCTGCTGCTCTTAGAAGCACCATCGCCACGACTCTGAGAATGGAAGTGGAGCTGTGATTTTTAGGGGTTTTCTCCTTATGGCGGCATAAACGTACAGAACACACTCACTTCAGCCATACAGCGTAATGATCTGATAGATACTTGTCTATATTGTGAAACATTCCCCACAGTAAGTCTAGTTACCACCCATCAATACACGCAGTTACAGACGTTTTTCCTCTTGGATGAGAACTTTTAAGATCTACTCTCTTAGCAACTTGCAAATATGCAGTACAGTATTGTAAACTATGGTCTCCATGACATCCCCAGGACTTACTTGTGTTGTAAACTGGGTATCTTTTGACCCCCTTCATCTAGTTCACCCACCCTGTAGCCCTACCTCTGGCAGTCACCAGTCTGTTGTCTGCGTCTGTGAGTTCAGCTTTTTATTGTTTGTTTTTTAGATTCCATATATAAGTGAGATCATACAGTGTTTGTCTTTCCCTGTCTGACTTGTTTCATTGAGCATAATGCCACCGAAGTTGTAAAAATTATCAAGTATTTTTAAACATTTTAGCAAAACTCTATCAATGAGTAGTACATAGTCTATTATTGCTGATTATTCTTAATTTTACTATCACTGTAGAAGCTGGTATCAACCTTTTAAAATTTGGTTGTAATATCAAATTATAATTCATCCTTTGATATATCCATAACACTGTTGAAGAAAATATACCATATATTTATATACTAACATCAGAAAAACACGTAAGGGATTTTTCACCCCCAGAATCTTATTTAGAAACCATTTGGCATGAAGGATTGTGTGTTATGTGGGCAAGATTCCCTTTAAATAGAGGAAGGAGAAGATAAAATGTTGTTTTTCCAATCTTTTTAAGTTTATTTATTTATGGGGAGAGAGAAGGAGAGACAGCATGAGTAGGGTAAAGGCAGAGAGAGAGAGAGAGAGAGAGACAGAGCGAGCAGTGGAGGCAGAGAGGGGCAGGGGAGACAGAGAATCCCAAGCAGGCTTCACGCTGTCAGCACAGAGCCTGATGCAGGGCTCAGACTCACAAACCATGAGATCATGACCTGGGCTGAAATTAAGTCAGACACTTAAACGACTGAGCCACCCAGGTGCCCCCAATTTTTCCAACTCTTAATGAAACTTGCTCAATACTTCCCAAATGTCGGCAGAAACCTAGAACCATTTTGTAGAAGTTGCTTTCTTCTCTCTTCACTTGGCAGTTAACACGTGCTCCCTTGTGTTGTGTTCAGCTGAGACTCTCAGTTTTTCATACCACACCCCACCGCCTACCCCACTCACAGCCACGACCTCCACCCTGTTCACCCTTCCATCCTCAGCCGCTGCACCACTGCCTTTCCCGTCACCAGCAGGAGCGGCCTTCCCGAGTGTGTGCCTGGCGGGGGGCCTGGCACAGAGTCAGTCCTGACTGAGCGCTCACTGGGCAGGTGAGGAGTATTCATCCTTTCATGCGGGTCCTGGCCCTCAGCCAGACCGTGAGTCCCGGGCCCAGGCAGCACTGCTCAGTCGGGCAGTAGTACTCGATGCTGTGGTGACACTGTGCATGTGTGCACGAAAGTCACTCCACGAAATTCATCTTACACACTCACAGTAACACCACAGGGTACAGAACGTGAATCAAGCAGAGAGAAGACGGCAGCTGTCTACCTGAGAGGCCTCTTGAATCTAGGCCTCGGGAACCATGGCTTACAAAACCCCAAGGACCCTGTCCGCCTCAGTATTTCGGTGCTTTCCTCATTAGAAAGCACATTCTTAGTTCATATGACTTTTGGTACTTTCTTCTGTGTAGCTAATTAAAGAATCTTAAGAACTTGCCTCGTATTAGTAGAATGATGATTACTCTTTCCCCCTAGGATTAGGCCAATGCTGAATACAGAAATCACAGTTCTGAGAAGCTAATTACATCGGTTTGTGAGGGTTGGAGGGGGACTGTGGGATTCTGAACATCTGTACAGGGTTTTCAGGTCTCATAACTAAATGAAAGTCTTAATACCTCATATCTAGCCTTATAATGTAGCATCCTTTCTAGTAAGTGTAGGAATGGAAGGAATTTTTACAAGTTTGAGTACAGGATAATATCCAGTTTTTAAAAGCAGAACTTCTCGGAGTACCTGGATGGCTCAGTCTTTTGAGCGTCCGACTCTTGGTTTCTGCTCAGGTCATGATCCCAGGGTTGTGGGAGCCCACGCTGGGCTCCGTGCTGAGCGTGGAGCCTGTTTAAAATTGTCTTTCTCTCTCCCCCGCTCACTGTTCCTCTCTCTAAAACTTAAAAAAATAATAAAAAGCAGAACTTCTTGTCTTACTCTATTTCCTCGAGATTGTCAGAACGCCTGCTATTGATAAGTGTGATATGTTTAAGTGTAATTGAATTCTAAATAAAATAATCCAGTTGATAATGAACTTTCCCCTGGGCCCTTGGCTTCAGAGAGCAGAAACAGCCAGCATGCCACCCGTTCCTTTGGTCTCATAGTTTCAGTCGGGCTACCAGCTGTTGTGGCGTGTTGCAGTGCCTCAGCTGAGGTCCCTGCTGTCCCCAGTTGCCATGACTACCTACCTACACTTCACAGCCTTTCCTCACCTACTCATTTTCCCTCAGGCGCTTTCATTCTCATCCTGTACTTTTCCACTCTTTTGGCAGACCTGCATGGGCAAGGATGTGACCCTTCACGTCTCGGCAAGCAACCCTGCTATGCTGCTCTACCAGAAGTTTGGATTCAAGACTGAAGAGTACGTCTTAGATTTCTATGATAAATATTACCCGTTGGAGAGTACGGAGTGTAAACACGCGTTCTTCCTGAGGCTCCGGCGCTGAAGTGAGCACAGCGCTTCACAGACGCGTGTGCTGTCAGAGGTGGGTCCTCACGTAGGCCCGAAGGCAGGTGTTCACGTCCCCGTGGGCCCTCATCTCTGCAATCAGACGTCCCTTCAGACCTCTCGCTGGAGGCTACACAGGCGGTGGGCAGAGGAATTGAATAGTGCACAGCCCGTCAGCAGAACTGCTGTCCTGTCCTGTCCTGTCCTGCATAGGCCTGGGCCCACATCTTGGGACTCCACAGTTAACTGGAACCGAGCGGTGCTGCTGTCCTTCCGCCAAACAGCTTCAGCAATAAAGGATTCTCGGGGAGAGAGAATCTGTTCTAATTTAAAGGATGAGGAAGGGTGGCAGCCATTAACGAGGGGTGCTGTGTCATCGGGACAACGGGAGATTACAAGGTGATCACACAAAGGGCCAGCACTTCCCCAGCCGTCGATGAGCCATCATTGAACCCGAAGGACCTTCAGGGCACTGAGGTTCTGCTGTCTCACTGACTTTGGCCACAGTCAAAATAAACATGGTGTTTGTGTCCACATGTCTCGTCACCTGGTCTGCTGTTAGTACCTCCTGCTGGGGGCTTTGGCCTAGGAGTGGACACCTCTCCCTGCGCCTGCGAAGTTGCTTTGGGGTCGCATTGTCCGAGCAGCCTGTCAGTTAGACTGTGCTGGCGGGGAGGTGCGGGTGGTGGAAGCAGAGCCAGCTGAGGACGGGCCCGTGTGTCTCCAGGACCACTCTTGTCGTAGGGGGTGTTGGAGAGGGACTGTCCGTCAGGGTGTTTTGGATCCAGCAGGAGCTTTTCCAAAAATATCAGATGTTCCCAAATAAAAATCTTTCCTTATGACGATCAATGGCCAGAGCTCCAATCGAGCGGTGGCTCTTAACTTCTGGGGACATGGATCCCTCCCTGCGAGAATCCGAAGAAGGCTGAATATTCTCTAGAAAACTGTGCATGCACATTTAAAATCTTGATCGGAGATCTGTGGACCACAGTCAAGAGCCTCTGCTTTAGGGGCTACGCTTGCAGCCAGCTCGAATCCCTTTCCTCAGAGGAACGCACTGCACCTCGCGCGAAGCCTGGAAGTTCTGTCCTTGGAGAGCAGCCCAGGCTCCACTCCGCTGCCTGAGGCCCAAGAGTGACATTACCTCCTTTCTTCCTTTCCTTTTCTTTTCTTTTCATCCCTCCCTCCTTCCTTCCTTCCCTTCTTTCTGAGAGCTTTCTACCTTTTAAGGATTTGAGGACTAGGACCCCAAGAAGTAAAATTGAAGAAGTGACATTTTCTGAACCTGCAATCCAGCTTGTGATTATTGTACGTGAATGTCAAGCGTTTGCTGCAAAAGGTGGCCGAAGCAAGTGTCTCCCATCGCTTCAAGGAACTGGGGAATTCTGTGATTACATTAATCAGTTCTTTGTTTTACATTTCGATCGATTGATTGATTTTATTTTCAAGTAATTGCCACACCCAACATGGGGCTCCATCTTACAACCATGAGATCAAGAGTCGCACGCTCCACTGACTGAGCCAGCCAGGTGCCCCACATTTTTAAATTACGATACAACAACCCCCTCCCCCATATTCAGTAATTATCAAGATTTTTGCCCCATTTGCTTCATCTGTCTTTTGCTGAATATTTTAAGGCAAATCCCAGATATCCTATACTTTCACACCTACTTCAGTAGGTATTTCTTAAAAAATAGGGATATTTTCTCACATAACCTCAATACCTAGTACCACTCACAACAAGGTGAGCCCATTTCTGGAATTAGCTGGTAGTCAGTGTATCACATCCTGTGGATGGTCTCAGAAGTGCCTTTACACTTGGTTTGTCTGGATCAGCATCTGAGTGGGGTTCACACGGGTGGCTGACGGCCCTGTCTCCACAGTCTGTCCATGGAGATGTGCCCTGCCGCACCATAGTCTGGCTCCAGTGTCGGGCAAGATGGGTCTGGTGGCCCTAGTACAGCAGACAGCTGCTGGTTTTGATCTGCCTTTGGCCTTACAGCTGACACTGTAAGAAACCTCTGTCCACCCTCCAAAAGTGATACTTAACAATGCATACAGATGGGGCCCAAGGTGCCAAGAGCGTTCTCAAATTACCACGTTCTGGTGGACTTTCAGGTATAATTTATTTTGAGATTTCAAAATTCCAAATAAGAGGAGGGCTTGTTTCTTTCTTCCACAGAAGTGGGTGTGAGCTTTAAAAAGCTGAGGAACCCCATCTCCAGCTGTGTGTTCCTGGGAGTCTAGATTGTCCTTGACCTATATCCAGGCCTTCCTGGCCCTGGGGAGGTGGCTCGTGGTAGCCAAGTGGGCCTTCAGGGTCCAGGTTGGAGTGAGACCAGAATTAACTGTGTCTTTATTTACCCAGAGTCTTTCTAGGGAGATTGAGCTCTTTGCATTGCAGCAGGATGTTTGAGAACCAAAACCATACTTTTGAATTTTCCAGATTTAGTTAACATGCTTTATGCAAAATGCTCATCACCTAAAAGCCTTCCCTGGAACGGTCTTCTGCAAGTGGGCTCAGTGTTTCCACTGAGCCCTGGGGGGGGCCTCCCAGGTCCACTCCACAAGGGCTGGGGTGTGTGGCACACTTTGGTTAAGGATGTGCTTCTGATATCTACTAGCAGGAGGTTGGGATAAAAAAACCCCTTAGTAC